TCATTCTCATAACCAGTGTCTGACAAGATTATATGCTGCCTCACCAAAGTTTGGTGACTTTTTAATTATTTTATTGACATGGTTCACTCCACCCTCCCCCTTTTTAAATTTGAGAGAGAGAGCATGAGCAAGAGGCAGAGGGAGAGAGAAAGAGAATCTTAAGCAAGATCCATGCTCAGCACAGAGCCCGACAAAGGGCTCAATCCCATGCCCCTGGGATGATGACTTGAGCCGAAATCAAGAGTCAGGCACTCAGCCAGCTAAGCCACCCAAGAACCCTGACATGGATCACTTTCTGTTCTTACCTTCTCATTTGTTTTCAATTGGGATTATTTTTTAAGTATAAGTCTTTTATTGTTATTACTACTTGCAATTTATGGCCAGTTGTAAAATTCGCCAGTGAGTCCAAGGTACTGGTACCAGAAACAGATTGAATTAACATACATTTATTTATTTGTCTTTATTTTCTCATTCATATGAATATTATATGCATGGGATTATCTCCCCACTCCCAAAAAAAAGACATTGCAAGTTAATTACTTTGGCTCATTATTTTGCAACCTTATCTTAAACATGATAAAATTATACATGCAGTGTTGCTAAATTCACAATGATATATAAATAGTGCCATTTACAGTGGAGTTTAACAAAAGAACCTTTTTCTTCATCACAGACGGTTATTAAGAATGAATTTCTTCAAAACTAGTGCACTTCTTGTCTTTAAACCACTTTTCTCTTAAAGGCTGTCCTAAATTTTTATTTTGAAAGAAAGCATTTTGCATGCTAGGAGGTAAGAAACATAAGGAGGGTAATTATAATGGGATTTAAATAATTCACTTACATTTCTTTGCCAATAAAATAAAGCATGTTCTCTTAGGGTTTTTTTAATAAGTTCTAAAATAATGTCTTTCAATTTACTAATATTATAAAAGAAAAAAAAAAACCCACAACACTGTCATCTTCCTAGATCAAATATTCCTGTTTTCCACCAACAGATTTGGCAATCATTCAGAAGCAAGTAGCATTATGCTTTTTGGATTTTCAGATATATCTGAACTGCTGTTGATTTCTCCCCAAATCAGGTCAGATGCACTGTCTGCAGGAACATTTGCCAGAGGTAGTGTGTGTTCAAATGGAAGATTTTTACATTCCATAGTCCTCATTTATTCTCCAGACTTCTAAATTTTTCATACTAAGTAGCAGTATCTCACTTTATGAACCATAGGGTCTTTATTAATTAAACAGAGTCAACAATGGCTGATTTAGTCTCTCTCTTCTCAGTCGAATTACCAGGCACACAAATCAGAGAGGAAATATCTCTAATACTAGAATGTTCTCCAAGCCAGTAAATCTGGGATTATCTCATCATACTGATTATATCAAAGCTCTTTAGTCACTATGCCCAGTAGGACATAAAATTGAATGGTATATACACAGATGGCCCCATTCCAGCATTATAGGAAGAGTTCCAAGTTTTTCTTGCAATAATCACAAAGTTCTAATTATCAAAAAACAAAACAAAACTAATCATGATCTTTTTCTGAATATCAACTCTTTGCCAGACACTTTACATGCATTACCTGTGTTTTAGAAGCATTGGTTCTGAATGTTTGTACAAAAGACCTAGGTGTGGGGCGCCGGGGTGGCTTAGTCGGTTAAGAGTCCGACTTTCGCTTAGGTCATGATCTCACGGTTCGTGGGTTTGAGCCCCGCGTCGGGCTCTGTGCTGACTGCCAGCTCAGAGCCTGGAGCCTGTTTCAGTCTGTGAGTCCCTCTCTCTCTGACCCTCCCCTGCTCACTCTGTCTCTCTCTCTCTCCTAGAAATAAATAAAACATTAAAAAAAAAAAAAAAAAGACCTAGGTGTGAAACACAAGCTTGAAGGATAGAAACCTTATTGATTTGTTGGCTGTTTTATTTTTTCTAGTGAATAGCCATCATAATTGCATGTTTGGTGTTTGGGTGTGTGTTTTTTAAACATATACGAAGAAGTCTATTGTGAACATAAGCTTAATCAATTAATACTTTAGGATGTAACTTTTGGATTTGGAAGAAGTTCAGATGTAGACTTGTTCATATAAAAGTGCTCAATAAAGTTTCCTGGCAAGGATGACTTTCTAGGGGAACTTTCTAATAGTCATCATTCAGAGGCTATAACTACATTTTCTCATTGGACATTTTGCCTTTGCTTCATCTAAGTGATAAATTTAATGGAATGTCCATTTATAGGCAGTTATAATAGTTGAAGCATGAGACTTATTTTTTCAGAAAGTTTAATAGGAGAGTATGCACCTGAACTCATTCCTCAGGTGGTTGTTCCTCTTTTCCCTCCTTCCCACACTCCCTAGTTTTGGGACATTATTGGGGAGGGAGGATTTATAATAATTTAGTCTCTTCACACTAACATATTATGAATGTTCATCATCCTATCAGAGTAAATATACCAAGATTTTTTAAATTAGCAAAACTGGGGGTGCCTGGGTGGCTCAGTCGGTTGGGCATCCAGCTTCGACTCATATCATGATCTTGTGGTTTGTGGGTTCGAGCCCCGCATCAGGCTCTGTGCTGACAGCCAGCTCGGAGCCTGGAGCCTGTTTCAGATTCTGTGTCTCCCTCTCTCTCTGACCCTCCCCTGCTCACGCTCTCTCTCTCTCTCTCTCTCTCTCAGAAATAAATAAAAAACATTAAAAAAATAAATTAGCAAAACTGTCACATCAAGTTTTTTCTTTTAGTTTTAAACAGGTGCTTTTTACAGAATGACGCGTCCTCATTTTACCTTACAGTGGCATTCTGGCCCTCTTCTGTTATACTCATTAGTATTTCTTTAAAGCCACTTTCAATTTAGACAGATTTCCAGCTTCCCCCAACCCCAAAGGCCTGGAAATGAAGTTAACCTGTGCAGAATCTAATGCTTCGGTAAGTTTAGTCTCCATAATAAGAAATTTCATTAAACCATTTTAAAGAGATAACAGTGATGTGGATTACTGTCAAGAGAATAATGATTCTTTGTACCACTTAACCACACTCTGAGCTTTTGAAATGATGAAGATGTTGGGCCTTGCCACCTTCACCTTGAGTCTCAAAGCAACTTAAATTTGTTTATGCCATCATGAAACTGTCAGCAATCTTCATGGAAAGGTAAATTTTAATATTCAGACTGAGGAGTTGAACAATTCGTATTGGGGTATATGCAGGGAATTTAGGACATAGGTCAAAAACTTCATTGACAATGAAACTGCCCATTTGTACTAAGTCCAACATTTTCAGTTATTGCCATCAAGAGCCAATAAAGTCTGTGCATTTAGGTGATAGTTCCCAAATTATGCTCTATGGAACACTGGCCCCACGTGTACTAACAGGGGCACGTTAGTTTGAGTAATACCACATACTGTTGGAGAGGCATAGAACATGTTAATATGTTTAAGATTTAGGGAAGTCCTACAGTTAAGAAACTTGTTTAGCTCTATTTAACCTAGTATATCTCAAACTTATTTGACCATGGAATTATCTTCTTCACATGATAGTTATTAGAAACCTTTTTAACATACTTTGGAAATGCTATTTTGTAATGTAGGAGATACTTTTAGATACCCCCCCCCATCTTATTTGATCATTTTAAGTGCCAGCCCTCAGATGGACTTGATCTAAGACATGGTACTACTTCCAAAGTTGAGTTTGGGTAGGATAGGGGTGGGGGAGATGGATATAAATGGATGAGGGTAGTAGGGCAATCCAGTGGTAGAAGAAGTGTCCAGGAAGAAGAAACAGATCATCCTAATTCCAGAAGCTGCCTGTTCACACTCAGGAGCTGGGCAGATAGTGGTGGATACAAGAGATTCATTCAGCCAGAGCTTGGAAACCAGGTCGGAAAGACACCATCCAGCAGGTAGAGGCATACTTTGTAATGTTGTTACACCATTCCCAGAACTCCCCGAATGCGCTCTATACCCGTTGTGCATCCTTCCTCACCTCTGCTTACGTTCTTCCCCTAAATGCCTACTCATTCGTTCTGAGCACATGTTAGACACCATATAAGTTCAGGCTCCTACCCTCATGGAGCTTCATATGCAGTAAGAAGGCCTGAAAATAAACAGGCACTTAAAATATAGTGTAATGAGAGATGAGATCAGGAGAACAGATTGGAGGAATTTTGAGGGAGATTTGGGGTTTTTTTTTTTTTGAGTCTATTTGTTTATTTTTGAGAGAGAGAGAGTGTGTGTGTGTCTGTGTGTGCGCGCACACGCATGCACACACACAAGTGGGGGAGGGGCAGAGAGGGAGACAGAGAATCCAAAGTGGGCTTCAGGCTCTGAGCTGTCAGCACAGAGCCCGGCGTGCGGCTCAAACCCTTGAACTGTGAGATCATGACCTAAGCCAAAGTCAGATGTTCAACCAACTAAGCCACCCAGGCGCCCCAGGGAGATTTGGTTCTTTAGAATTAGTATGAGTTAACTAAATAAACAAGAAGAGGGAGGAAGACTGTAGCAAAGAAAAAAGTAAAAAAGTATTATTGAGGCAGGTAAAAAAAAAAAATCAAGGTGTTTCATACCATAGAGTATGTATTTGATCCAAAAGGCGTTGGTTGGCACTGAATTTTTAGCAGGTGAGATCTCTTGGCTGGAGCAGCAATTGAATTAGAAAAGAACTAGAACAGAGGCAGAGAGACAAGCTATCTCAGTGACCTGGAGTATAGCCCTGGAAGAGGGGGGAAGTAAAAGATTCCACAGATGTTTCAGCAAGAGAATCCCAGGATTTGCTGACTGAATGTTAGGTAAGGGAAAACAAGGAGTCAAAGATGATGCATTCTCCTACATTGCTTTCTACCAAGGAAGAAAGAAACAAATAGGTTTTGTTGAACCTTAAAACATATCCAAGACTTTTTAAGACAATTGGATCGAGTTGCAACTGCTTCTCATCACCAGGAGCTGAAGTAGGGTGGAAGTGGTGTCACTGAGATCAGACGATCCTTTAGCTTGTAATTGCATTCCTTGTTCTTCCCCAGTCACGTAACACAGACGACATCCTGGATCCATCCCGTGATGAGTGCACTGAACCTGTCTTGCTCAGAGGAAAATGAAGAGGATTGTTCCAGAGAACTTCCTGATCGAAGAGTTGATGGTCTTCTGTAGGAAACAGAGCTCCATGGTCTTCTAACATCTCAGTCTACATGGATGAGTCCAACATGCAACACTCTAAAATAGGAGTAAAGCACACACACTACTTATTGAAGTTCTAAAATGGAGAACTTTTGTAACAATACTCTACTTTTGTAAAACTTTTTTTTTTACTTGTGATGAGCATTTTTTTTATTGAAGTGTAATTCATATAGAGTGTTATATTAGTTTCAGGTGTACAATATAGTGATTTAACAATTCTGTACATTACTCAGTGTTCATCATGATAAGTGTACCCTTAGTCCCCTATATTTCATCCATTCTCCCACCCACCCCCCACCTCTGGCAACTACCATCTTGCTCTCTGCATTTAAGAGTCTGCTTTTTTGTTTGTTCCTTTTGTTCTTTGTTCACTTGATTTCTTAAATTCTACATATGAGTAAGAGCATATGATGTGGTAAAACTTTTTGATATAAGTGTATACACTGACAAGATCAACTGCCACTGCAGTAGTTCTTTAAGAATAATCTAATTGTATTTTTGGAAATCATATATAGATTTAATATGTATAATTATTCATATACAATTTGATTTGTAATGTTATATATAGTTCTTTATAGAGTATCAGACACAATGGTTTTTATAATTAAGACTTACCAGAAAATTATGTGAACACAGTAAAGCACTACATTTATTTAATGTCACTAACCTTTTAGCGTCTTAGGAAAGTGCTCTGAGCAAGCTTTTGGGGGTTCCTTAAGGATCGCATGGGACACCTATCTCATAGGCTACTGAATGCAGTTTACATATTTGTGGGTCTCTCTCATTTACAAAGTGCTCTTCAGACCCTGTTTTGTTTAAACAACACAACATGCCTGTGAGACAGATCCAGTGGGTATTTTTTTTTTTTTTACTCTTGTTTTTCAGTTAGGAAAATAGTGGTTCAGAGAAATGAAGCACCTTGTCCTGGAGCTGAGATTCACACCTGAGTCTTCTGGTTCCACATTGAGCCCCCATTCTGCTGCACCCCACTGTCCCTGCAGAGGGAGGTCACGGCCCACATGCAGGCCACTGTGGCTCTGTTAATACAGCTGAGCTCCACAACTGTGTGCTCCAGCGGCCACAGAGATTCAGGAGGTACCTCTTCAGTCTGACGTGACCCCCATATAACCCCACTATTTTCCTAAATACCCTTCCACCTCTCATACCCCCAAATATTCACCAAGTCCGGGTGCATCTCTGTGATGCCCTTTCAACAGCCTTCTTTCAGCAGCTCACATTATTCTAAAGTAAAGGGACTGGCTTACATCGGGGGCCTGCCCTGCCAGAGGGAACATTTGCAGGGAGTTAATGAGAAGAAGGGCATCCAGAATCTCCTCTGCTATCTGGACACATCCATGAACTCTCCTGCTTTGAGTTCAAGACTGGCCTCATGGCTGCTGATGTCACTTTCCAAACTGATTACACTTTCCATCTCATGTTATTTTATTATAAAGATGCCGCTTGACAGTTTCTGGAAGGAATGAGCTGTTGACTTGGAGTGCTAAAGATTTTCTTTCTAGTGATTTAAACCTAGGGCTAGGAATTGGGGCAGAGTGAGGACAAAGTCCACCAGGACAATGTCATGAACCAACTGAATGATAGAAAGGGATTTGTCCATATCCAATATTCTGATATCATTAGGTAATATACATAGGAAGAAAGTGAGTAAGAGTCATTAAGTGATCAGAATAGCCTGTTCTTAACCATGCCTGGTAAGACTGAGAAGTTCCTGTTTGTCACGGTGGCCTCTTCTTACCAACCCCTTCCTCTTTCTCCACCTCTTCCTCCTCACTCCCTCTCCACCTCTGAAATACAAGCAGGAAAAAGGAACCCAGCCTTGAGGATCATGTGATTCAGTGATTTTTATTTCCAAACATCTTTTGGTAAAAAAGACTCATTTTTCAAATGGATCCCAATATATGTACCAATTTTTTTTTTTAATATTGTTACTCTGCTTAAAATGAGAGACGCCTGAAGCCAAATTAAAGCAGCCCCCAGCACGGGAAAACTATGCAAACCTAGGGCTCCTTCGAATGTGGCATAAGATTCCTCAATTGTAAACATTTTATAGATGAGTAAACTAAGATCCTAAGAGGTCGCACAGTGAGTCAGTGGCCAGGTCAAGACAGGACCTAGATCCTAAAGCCTCCTAGTCTACTAAATTTCATATGGCATGTAATATAGATGTATGTTGTAAATATAGATCTATGTCGTGAATATATATAGGATTTATAATTCACGTCTTGAATAATAACATAAAGTCAAATCCAGCCTGATAGGTAGTCATTAGCCCTGAGAAAAGCTTCAGAATGGCTGAAGAAGACTCAGGCTTCTCTTGACAGCTCTGTGAATATGAGCAAGCTTCAGGGAGACAAGTTTTGAGAGAAGCCCCCAAGGGAGCTCTTTCCTTGTGTCCCCCAGAGGTGAGTGAGATTCTCAAACACCCGAAGTTACTTTCATAAGTTGGTGTCTATAATTGTCAAAGTACAGACTTTTTGTTGTTGCTAAATTAATGGTATGAAATTTCCCTCCCCCTACTGGGAGTGTTTTTTCTAATTTGTTTCTAGTGAAGAAAACACAGAGGAGACGCTAGAGTCACCTGAGATCAAGGTCCTCAGGCACCCATCTTACCGACAGACGCCTCATATGTTAACTTTGCTGCTGTGTGCCACTCTCTTCCTTGCTTCCTCATAGAATACCTCATGGAAAAGGCCTATAAAAATCATCAGGATATCATTTGTTGAGCATTTTGTGCCACACATTGTGGTGGGTAGTATGCATATTATTTCATTATCGTCCTAAAACAGCCCCATGAGGTAGAAATTATCGTCCGCATTTTGTAAAGAAGAGATTTAGGGTTAGAAAGAGTTGCCAGTCTTTGCCTAGGGGTCACGCAGCGCCTACATGTGGAAGCCGGGGTCCAAGGCCAATCTGGCACAGCCCATTCTCTTAAACCATCTGCAGAGCTGCTTAGATCCATTGCATGTGAGACGGGGTAGAGGTAGGGTTCGTGAGTCAGTTTCTCAACGGGGCAGATTCCAGTTCAGTGCAACAAGGAACTTTGAGGTAGTTGGGGCTCGTCAAGAAAGAATTCCCCTTTAAGAAGTGGAGGCACTGACCCAGGAAGTGGTCAATCCGAGCTCCTTATGGGAATGGTACTGAGGACGTTCAGGGTCTGAATCGGCCGGACCATTTGAGCACCATCTGAGATCCCTTCCAAACCAACAGATAAATGCCCAAGACACAAAAAATCATGGCATGGACTCAATAAGAATCCTTATCCAATGCAAATAGAACCATCAGACTATTTTATGGTGAGTTGATATTTATATAACCAGTCTTTCATTAATATAAATCAACCCTATTAATGTGATAAACTTCTCTGTTGACCCACTGGCTCAGATTTTAGGGTTAGAAAACCTCAATGTCCTTACGCCCTTACGCCTTACTTCATGAAAGAGTAACCAGGGTTGGTCGTCCTTAGTCCTTTATTCTGAGGGTATTTAGTGAGCATCAACAGTGTGCCAAGCACAGTGCGAGACGCCAAGGCAGAGTAGGGCAAAATAACCATTTCCTGGGTCCTCTTACTCTTGATTAAAAAGTAAAAGCTTCTCAGGTGGCCAGGGTTGAACTGCTTCTTTGTAACTTTTGAATTTTAAAAATGATCTAGTTCCATTGAAAAATCAAGTAGTAGGGAATTGTATAAAGAAAAAAAAAAAAACCCTCATCTCACTTTCCAGAAGAAGCCATCATGAATACTTTGATGATGAGTATTTTTACAAAGTTAATCATACTGTTAAGCAGTTTGCTTTATTTATTGTGGTCATTTTCCCCCATGTCAGTATATAGATTGTTCTACATCAAATGTCTCCGCAAAATATCATTACCCAGATAACTCATAATTTTTGTAGCCATCGGTCTACTTGATGAACACTTAGGCTGTTCTCAGTTGTCTTGTGTTACAATGTCAGTGAACATCCTTACAATCATTAAATCATTTTCTTCATATATACACGTACTCTTATGGCAATAGGTCTATAATGGGAATACGTTAATAAAAGTAAATTGCTATAGCAAAAGTTTATTCATTTTAATTTTGGTAAATATTCATAAATTCTCCTGCATTAAAATAGAACCAGTTTACACCACCACCAATAGTGTGTGAGAGTTTATTTTCAATAGATGATAGGACTTATTTTAGTTCAAAGACTGCCAGTAACTTTTCTGATTGTTTTTGTCCTTAGCAGAGTAATCCTCTTTTTACCATTGTCTGAGGACCTGAATTGTTTTCATCATTAGGTTTTAGTTGTCCCTTAGCAGCAGAGAATGCCTCGCTGTGTAGAGGAAAGTCTGGCAGTGACTAATTCACTGTCAAACACATCATTACTCTCATCATTTTACGGACATTTCCTACTTAAACATAATGGTGGTGCAGACCCACTTTTAAGTGAGCTAACTTGGAAGGTTGCCTGATTGGCTCAGTTGATTAAACACCAGACTTCAGCTCAGGTCATGACCTTACCGTTCGTAGGTTCGAGCCCCTCATCAGGCTCTGTGCTGACAGCTCAGAGCCTGGAGCCTGCTTCAGATTCTGTGTCTCCCCCTCTCTCTGACCTTCCCCCACTCATACTTTCTCTCTCTCTCTCTCTCTCTCTCTCAAAATTAAACATTAAAAAAATGTTTTTAATGCGCTAACTTGGTTGAGAGCCCTTAGCAAAGTGTGAAACACAGTATAAACAAACCTATAAGTTCTTTGAGCCTCAGATTCCCCATCTGTATAAGGAAGGGGGTAATCCCCTGACTCTTCTCAAACCAATTCAACTTATCAACCATTTTCCAAGTACCTGCCAAATGCCAGACAAGGTGCAAGGTCTTAAAGTTACCACACTAAATAGTTCTGATTCCCCAACCAAGAAACTCATAATCTAAAACCTTTTTCCTTTCTTTCCTTTTTCCTCAAAAACCTTTTAGTTTTCCTTAAAGGAGTAAGAAGTCAGGGGTTTGTTTAGTAAGAACCCCTGAAGAGAGGCCCTTTATCACTCTCTCAAATTTGAATAACTCCAAAATAATATTAACACCCCTTGACTAGAAATGAAAGAGAAACATACTGTGAGAAGAGGCTCTCCAATAATAAATGTTGAGCAGCTGTAAAAATACAGAGTCAATTGATACCTT